GTTAGTGAAGGTGCATGAATGTTTTTAAATGGCTGGAGAGAAGAAAATCCAATGAAATGAGCCTGATGCAGGCCTTACATTGCAACTGTACACTCAGGAAATTTAAAGACACAGCTTTAATTTTTGTAACTGATTATGTTCTATAGGCATATTCTTTCCACTGTGGAAATAGGGTTTTTAATTATTTATTTATGCGATTTCCCCCCCCCTGCCCTCCCCCACAAGTGGGCTCAAGGCTGGGTACAATGAGCCAGTGAAACATATAAAACAATTCCATAAAATTTCAGTTAAAATCTAAAACCCAACTAATCTACAGGATGGCAAGGTGGTAATACATCAGGCCGCAGGGATATAACTATATAGCCCAAGAAAGGGCCATCGTATTTATGATTTTTAGTGCATGTATCCATTGTTGCACAAATTTATGTTTAAATAAAAACAAGAATTCCAAAATTAATGTTAACTAGCGTTCTTGCAAAAGAACTGCAGTTACATTCCTTGAAGTCTCATTTCAGTAAGCTTGAAATTTTGAAACAACAAGTCAGGACCTGTAAGAAACATGCAGGAGCAGCTATCCCATTCCCCTCACCTTTGCTTCCTCCCTTCTCCCTCTGTTTCTCTCAGTCTCTCATTCTTTCTCCCTCCTGCCACCCCTTTTCTTTCTCTCTCTCTTGCATTCCTGTCACTTTTTCTTTCTGCTCCCCCACCTCATCTCTGTCTCTTTTTCTGCCTCCCCATCTCATAACTCTTTCTCTTTCTGTCTCCCCGCCATCACTCTCCCAGTTCTTGCCTGCTCCCCCCCTGAATAGCAGCAGCAGTGGTGGTGCTCATAGCCACCTGCTTGCTCCTAGCCACCTACTTGCTTCCCCTGCCCCAAGCAGCAGTGGTGGCAGTGGCTCTCCAGGAATCACAATGGATCTCCCAACTATAGAGACCAATTTCCCTTAGGGTTGCCAGCTTCAGGTTGGTAAATTCCTGGAAATTTGGGTGTGGTGCTGTAGGAGGGTGAGGTTTGGGGAGGGAAGCAACCTCAGCGGGGCATACTGCCATAGACTTCACCCTCCAAAGCAGCCATTTTGTCCAGGGGAACTAATCTCTGTCATCTGGAGATCAGTTGTAATTTTGGGTGATCTCCAGCCCTCACCTGGAGGTTGGCAATATCAATTATTGTGGAGGAAATGGCTGCTTTGGAGGGTTGAGTCTATGGCAGTATATCTGTCAGAGGTCCTTCCCCTCCTTAACCTCACTTCTCAAGCTCCACTCCTCAAATCTCCAGGAATTTTCCAGCCTGGATTTGGCAACCCTATCCCCACCCAACAGCCAACCTACACCCCCCACAGCCTCTGCCTAGGAAAATTATGGTCTTTCTTTACAATGGGGACCAAAGCAGCTTGCAGTATTATCTCCTTTTTATCTGTACAACAGCCCTGTAAAGTAGGTTAGGCTGAAAATACATGACTGGTCCTAAATCACCTAGTGAGCTTCCACAGGAAGATGGGGATCTGAACCTGGTTCACACAGACCTCACTCTGACACTCTAACCACTAAACCACACTGGCTTTCATTGGGTGGCTGCTAGTGAACAGCAGGAAGCAGTCGGACCTAGCTGAGTTGTGCAAGTCAGGCAATCTCAGAGGTTGCTGCCAGGTTTAGGGTAGCCAGCCTTCAGGTGGGACCTGGAGATTCCCCAGAATTACAACTAAACTGCAGACAACAGAAATCTGTATCCCTGGAGAAAATGGCTGCTTTGGGGGGTGGACTCTGTGGCATAATACCATGATGAGGCCTCTCCCTTCCCCAAACCCTGCACTCCTCAAACTTCATCACAAAATCTCTGCTGATTTCCCAACCTGGAGCTGGCAACCCTAGCCATGCCTGGCCTGCCCCAAAATAGGCCTGGAAAGGGCCCTGCCCCCTCCCCCTGCCTTTTTACTCACAGAAACCAAGCCTTGGAATACTGTGGTTGCCTAGCAACAGCCACTGAGGGAATCCATTGTTTAAAGCTACAAGTGCTCCTTTTATAATTTTTGGTTTTTTTAAGCTGCCCAAAATGGGGGGGGGGTTTGTTGTTTTTTTAAGATTTTACATTTTCCTGCAAACCTGGAGGCCTTTTCAGGTTTGTGGAAAGATCCATCCTGTCTGTTCACAGTTCTGGTAATTGGGTATCCAAAGATTTGGCTGACTTTGCTATTAGTATACACATGTCCAAAAAGCTGTATAGTTTAATGGATGAGGTCAAGTAAATGATGCATAGTAAGAAAAAGAAAGAGAGAGACTGTTTTAAGATGGCCATTTGTAATCCTGCTTTATGGGAGCCTAATGAAAAAAGCAGATACTGATTTGGAGTAGCAAATATTCATATATGTATAAAGAAAAGATGTCAAGAAATAACCTTAAAGTTATTTAAAATGCTATATTCAGGCTATCTTTTGTGCTTTGTTTGATAGTCATAAGGTTTTCACACATAACATTTTAGGTGCATACCCCCTAAGGACCAAACTACATGCGATATTAAAGTTCCATAACAGTTTCTGAAATCATCTTCTGTGCTCTGCCAAAGAAGAACTGTTACCTGATAAGCCTTGTTTGTTTTAACAATAACAACTACCTTTGATCATAAAAGGTGGTAAGTGGATAGGAGCAGCTAGATATAACAGGCTATACAACACAGTCCAGGTCCTGCCATTTCCCTATGAAGCAATGGGTGGGGACAATGTAGAGTTCAACTTGAGCGGACAGACTGAGCCTTGTGTGGTGTTTTCTATCTTAACTGCTTTTCCTCAAAAAAATATTTCTAGTCACAGCTAAAAACACAGTAATGACTTAATTTTTTTAGACAGAGAAAAGGTTCAGTACCTTTTCCCCACACCTGCAGTGCTTTGACTATCCCCCCCACACGTTATAGGGATTCAGCAGCTGGTTTGATTCTGTACGTAGGTATGTTGCCAGTTCATTTGTTTTGGCCCTGAAAGATTTATGTTGAGCAACAATTAGTCATAGATTTCCCAGATGCTGTGGACATTTCAGATATCATGCAATGCCAGAAATTATTATTATTTGGTTATTTATAGTATGTCTTTCTCATGGAGACTCTAGGTGAATTACATAGTGTATATCAAGTACAATCAATGGAGGGACATCCAGTGAACATCACAATGGGATTTAGACTACAAATAAACAAATTTGGTTTTGTTACCAAGTGTACTGTTGAAAGAAAGTTACAGGGTTCTTGGAATAAGGCCCATTGTGGAGATAAATACAATGAGCTCTAGAAAGAGGCTCTGGGCGGGTGCCCCGGCCTTGGGCACTCAGCATCAATTTGCTGTGGCAACCTCATCAGGGTATGACAACACAGAGTCCAGCATTTTCTCCAGGGGAACTGATCTCTGCCACCTGAAGAGCAGTTATAATTCCGAGTGATCTCCAGCCCTCACCTGGAGATTGGCAACAATGGTTCCCCAGGAGGAAATGGTTGGTTTGGAAAGTGGAATCTATGGCATTGTACCTGTCTGAGGTCCCACCCTTCCTCAAACCCCACCCTCTCCAGGCTCCACCCCTCAAATCTCCAGGAATTTCCCAACCTGGATCTAGCCACCCTATCTCCTTCCTGGCCAACCACCAACTTACCGTTATCTGCCCCTCTGACTTCAGGTTTCCATATCCTCCCCCCTCCCTGCAGCATCTACCTAGGAAAAGTACAGTCTTTCTCCGCACTAAGGACCAAAGCAGCTCCCATCATTCTCCTCTCCCCCTTTTGATGTGCACAACAACCCTGTAAGGTAGGTTAGGCTGAAAGTCTGTGAGTGGTCTGAAATCACCCAGTCAGCTTCCACAGCAAGAACCTGGGTCTGGCAGACGCTGCTCTGAAGCGCTAACTGCTATGTCACACTGGCTGTCATAGGGTGGCCATCTCAGCAGGGTATAATGACACAGAGTCCACCATTTTCTTCAGGGGAACGGATCTCTGCCATCTGGAGAGCAGTTATAATTCTGAGTGGTCTCCAGCCCTTACCTAGAGATTGGCAACGGTGTTTCCCTAGGAGGAAAAGTACATCCTTTCTCTGCAGTTGGGAGCAAAGCAGCTTACATTATTCTCCTCTCCCGTTTTTGATCTGCACAGCAACCCTGTGAGGTAGGTTAGACTGAAAGTTTGTGACTGGACTGAAATCACCCACTCAGCTTCCACAGCAAGAACGTAGGCATCTCCCTGGATAAAATAACTGCTTTGAAGGGTGAACTATTGCATTTTATTCATCTGAAGTCTCTCCCATCTCCAAACTCTGGCTTCTGGAGCTTCCAACCCTAGTCAGGTCTGGCACCAATGAGTTCCCCACAGAGGGCTGGAAAGGGCCTCCTCCCCCTGTCTTTTTACTGACAGACTTGGTTGCCTAGCAGCAGCCACTGAAGAGAAAGTGAGCCACACAGCAGTTTTGGCAATTTATTCAGACAGGGAATGGCAGTGGGCGGGGGAGAGGAGTGAACCCAGCACCCAGCCAATGGCACACGAGTACTCTTGAGTGGCAGTTGATGGGCCAGTAGCTGATGGAGCGCACAGCACAGCCAATGGGAGAGCCGGAAAGTACCAATACGTTAGGGCTTTTATATATATATCAGATGATATTTATATTTGCAAACAAACTTTCACACACTAGAAATATCTGAAATCCAAAATACCCAAGTTATAGACAAAACATGAAACAGTGCCTCCCCCCTTTCTGCTGAGGGGTAATAACATAACAGGAAAGATGGTGCTGCTTAGTCATCTGTCCTTTCCATGCTACAAATCACCTTCCACCCCACAGCAGCATTTCCCCCTACAGCATTTCAGATACATAGTTACCAAGAAGAAACAAACTAGAAGGAAAAATGGTTACTGGGCTGTTGCATGTTAACATGTGGCATATAATTTTACTCTAGGAGTGCAATCCTAAACAGTTAACACTGTTCTAAGACCATTTACTTCAGTGGGCTCAGAAGGGTGTAATTTTGTTTAGGATTGTACTGTTAATGTGAGGGTCTGCTTCCCACTCACAAGAAACTTCTGAATTCCTTTCAAGTTACTATTCGAAGTTACTATTCCTCTTTGCAGCCTAAACATATCAAACCTTTTATATGGACTGGAAAAAGAAAAGCTGTCTTCTTTGGTTAAGTGAATGAAAGGTATGGACATTTGTGAATATGAGAGTTGTAGCGACCAGAGGATGGAGAGAGAAGAGACCAAGAGAAATGCAATTAGCTTGTGAATAGTCAAGCTGCCTTGTGTGTTTCCTCAGCTTTTAAACAATATATAACCACCAATTCAATTCAGTTTTTATTTGTTTGCAACATCACCAATAGCTTAACGTAAAAAATTCAGATTGATTGCACCTTGAAGAATTTTTCCTCTGGTGCTGGTTTCCTCTGACACGAGGAGCGATGTGCCCACAGAAGAGACTGTGATACCAGAGGAAAATGCCATCACTAGTGGAAAAGTTCTCTAAGGTCAGACCTAGTGCCGTAGCACTGTTGTGATTACTGATCTCATTTTGTGATATGGTAAGCACCAAAGTAGATGCGAGGGAGGTGGCTATTCATATGTTTGCCTTGTTCACATATGTTTTCTTTTTCTGTCAAAAGGGGTATGTGATTGAAGAGCAACATTTCCTGTTCCTCTGCCTTAACTTCCCCATGCTCTATAGCAGAGGTGTCAAACTCATTTGTTATGAGGGCTGGAACTGACATAAATGTCACTGTGTTGGGCCAGGCCATGTGTGTCATAAAATGTAACGCCAGGTACCGGAGATATAAACTTTATAAAGGACACCAACAAACCCAATTAACAATAATATTTTTACTCAAAATACAAACAAAAGCAATTGATTCTTAGCAGTAAAAGCAGTGGGAAAACACAAAAGCCCCAATAGAAGTATTTAATCATATGCAGGACTAGGTTTTTTTTCCAAGGGATACCATAAAAGGGGGAGTACCTTACATTTTCATACATCCCAGTTGCTTGAGGGCCAGATAAGAGCCCTGGATGGGCCGGTTCCAGCCCCCAGGCCTTATGTTTGACACCCCTGCTCTATAGTTTCAAGCTCTTTTCTCCCTAGCCTGGGGTCTGACACTGGAAGCAAATTAGGCTGGAGAGAAAAGTGATTGAAGAGACAGTACAAGAAGGTGTGAAGGGAGTTCATCTCTTTTTTATCTCACACATTCTTTTGATAGAAATGAACATTTCTGTGAATAAGGCACACATGTGAAGAGTAAAAGCTAAGGCCTAGTCTATGCATCCTATAGAATAAGTTGATAGGTGACAGAATGGGCTAACTAGAGAGTCAGATGCTTAATGCTTTCCCATGTTAAACTTTCCTCAAATAAAAAAAATAGCACATTAGGAAGAAAGGTGGTAGCCCAGCTTTTTATGTGCCACTTTAGATTTCCACTTAATTCCCTATCAGTGGCTGGAAGCTTCAGACTGCAGGTGAAGGATTACATTTCTTGAAACAGTACACTCAATTCAATCACCTCACTACTCTGTTATTTCACTCTGCCACATGTATAGACCAGCCCCAAAATAAAACATTATTAATGAATATTATTTTTCTATTAAATGTTTCTGGTATTTGCAGTTTGTTGTGATCTGTTAAAGGCACTGTGCTGGAAATTCTACAAGTTGTCTTGTTGCTAGTAATTTTAAATTAAAGAACACACCAGTAGACAAGTCCAAGTGTAATTAAACTTGTTGATTTCAATAATCCAGGCTAACCCAATCATCAGATCTCACAAGCTAAGAGGAAGTCCAGGGTCATGACACAGTGGCAAAACCACCTCTGAATGTCTCTTGCCTTAAAAAACCCCACAGGGTCACCATAAGTCATCTGTGACTTGATGGGGGGGGGAAGCATATCTAACTGTGAATCTTAATGTTTTGACGAGTGTTACAACAAATATATAGTATTTACAATTGCTTAGGACATATGTGCATTTTTCAAAATGGGAAAGTTGATTTTAACAGCATATTTGATAAATGTTTGATAAATCTTTTAGATTTCCTTATAGACAATTCAACATGGAGATTGTGTAAAGGAATTGTTTATCAAAAGTGTGTTTCTTTTTTAGGCTGTATCTGATGATGAAGCACTTATTAACAAAAAGCTGCCCAAAGAACTTCTTCTAAGGTAATTTTAGATGGTACTTTATAGTTACCCTCTTTCCATAGAAAAATATATCTCATCTTAACCACCTTGTGTAGAATAGTTAATATATGCTAAGTGGTGATTTAATTTGGTGCACAGTATACCAATATTTGCTTAGGGGGTAATTTTTAAAGTACATTATGAATGCAGCAAAAAATTGTTAAAGTATTATTCCAATTATTCTTAACAATTCTTTGTAAAAATAAACCCAAACTTTTGTAGCTGTAGAATATTCTGTGTACCTTGTGAAGTGCGTTGTTGTTGTTCATTCACACAGTCGAGTCTGACTCTTTGCGACCCCATGGACCACATCATGCCAGGCCCTCCTGTCTTCCGTCGTGCTCCGGAGTTTGCTTAATTTCATGTTTGTTGCCTCGATAACACTGTCTAACCATCTCATCCTTTGCCGTCCCCTTCTTTCACCTTCAATCTTTCCCAGCATCTGGGTCTTCTCCAGTGAGTGCTCCCTTCTCATTTGTTGGCCAAAGTATTTGAGCTTCAGCTTCAGTATCTGGCCTTCCAGGGAACAGTCAGGGTTGATTTATTTTAGGATTGACTGATTTGATCTCCTTGCAGTCCAGGGGGCTCTCAAGAGTCTTCTCCCGCACCATCATTCAAAAGAATCTATTCTTTCATGCTCGGCCTTCCTTATAGTCCAACTCTTGCAACCATACAGTACTACTGGAAATACCATTGCTTTGACCATATGGACTTTTGTTGGCAGGGTGATGTCTCTACTTTTTATTATGCTGTCAAAGTTTGCCATTGCTTTCCTCCCAAGGAGCAGGCGTCTTTTAATTTCATGGCTGCAGTCACCGTCTGCAGTGATCTTGGATCCTAGGAACATGAAATCTGTCACTGCTTCCATGACTTCTCCTTCTATTTGCCAAGGAGTGATGGGGCCAGATGCCATGATCTTAGTTTTTTTGATGTTGAGTTTCAAGCCAACCTTTGCGCTCTCCTCTTTTACTTTCAGCAAGAGGCTCTTTAGGTCCTCTTCACTTTCTGCCATTAGAGTGGTATCGTCTGCATATCTGAGGATGTTTTTCCAAGCAATCTTAATTCCGGCTTCTGAATCATCCAGGCTGGCATTTCGCATGACGTACTCTGCATATAAATTAAATAAGCAAGGGGGCAATATACATCCTTGTTGTACTCCTTTTCCTATGCTAAACCAATCAGTTGTTCCATATTCTGTTCTGTCGCTTCTTGACCCTTATACAGGTTTCTCAAGTGGGACTAGGGGACAATTCTTCATAAGCAACTATATGAGCTGTTAGTCGTTTTTACTCAGTCCATAATTTGCTATTTTCCATTCAGCGTTCTGAATTACGTGAGAGACAGTGCAGATACCGCCTGGGATTCTGTTGACTGTAGGATCACCTGTTTCCTTTCCCTATTTCTGATCCTCTCCAGAGCTAATTGCCACCACATGCCATAACATTATTTCACATTTCCAGCAGCAGAACCCACCTACAGAGGGATGAAAGGGAACACAGGACCCCCTTCCCCATTGTACAGAGGATACTGCTGGCAACTTACCGAGCAGTGGCAAAACAGAAGATTGCATGGGAGCAGTCCTTTAACCACATGTCCAAACAGGCACACAGCCCAAACAGCATAGGGCATTGGGAGTCCCTGTGCAGCCCTTGTACACAAGCTACATAGACTATAGCAGGGAGGGTTGCAGATAAAAGCATAGCACAGTTGAAATGCACAACAGTAGTATACCCTAGTTCAGTGATCCCCAGCATGGCATCAATGGGCAATGTAGTGCCCAAATGTATCTTTCATGGCAGTTGCTTCTTCCCAAAAGATCTCTTCCCCAAAGCAAAAGCCATTCCTGGCTTGGGTTCACCTCATTGGAGCAGAAGGTGCCTCAGAAGACAGGACTTTTGTGTCTGCATTTGGAAATAACAGTACCCCTATCATAGGGGGGTGCTTGGTTTGAGACCTCTCAACATTTATTTATTGGTTTACTATTTAAACATTTGTCCTGCACCCTGCAGTCTGCAGCTTACCTCCAGTCACACAGTGAAGATCATTGTGCTGAGGCAGCAGCTACTGGCAAAGCATTTTTTAAAAACTGCACAGCCAATCAAAACAACAGTCAATCAGAAATCGTGCTGGGTAAAAAACTACCTGGCTCCACCCACTTCCTAAAAACACTTGGTAAGTGCCAGAAAAAATGTTGATGGGTGCCATGGCACCCACAGGCCCCACATTGGGAACTTCTACTGTAAGGAGTCCAAGTAGAGCAATGTTAAACATAGGCTACCATAGTATTTGTTTTTCTCCCTTGGCTGTGTGTGCACAGTGCTATTTTGCTGTACAAAGTCTCTTTCGCTAGCGGTCTTATCAACCAAGTCTCTCCACGTATGTTCTAATTGTGCATGACATGAGATGTAGTCCTATTCCACGTGCTGTATCGTGTGAGATAGAGGCATCCTGGATGAGATTTATATAGGACTTGGGAGAGCTATGATTGCCTGCAGCCTTAGCTCCAGGAGTGGGGAAAAGAAGAGGGAACTTGAATTTTCAGCAGAACCCTTGTTGGCCAATGCACTGTGACGCAGCAAGGCAAAATGGTCTTGCTTTCAACAAAAAGGTCCAGTAGACTCTTCCTCAAGTATGTTACTCTTAAATGCATGCAGAAGTCCCAAGCTGTGTCTCATGGGAATGGGAATGTCTGAAAGAGAATTAAAGCTAGAAACTTTAGTCGTACACGGTTTTGTGGAATAAATCTAAATCTTTTATTTTTGTGTAGCCTGTTATTGATTGCAGACTAGAGAGAAAGTTTTTACAAACATTTGCATCATTTGTTGGCTTTTATGAAACAGTGTGCACTGAGAGATGATCTGACCCAATATAAAACAATCTTGAATCAACACATTTACAGAAGTATGTTAGGCTGGATTATTGGTAGACATGGTTTAATCCTTTTCCTCCTCTCTCATAGAATATTTTCCTTCTTGGACATAATTACTTTATGTCGATGCGCACAAGTTTCTAAGGTACAGCTAAGTGTTTGCTTCGTAATGTTTATTGTAGTTCTGTGAATACTAAAAAAAATAGTTACTATAAGTGCTTCTTCATTTCCCGTAATTTGTCTTTTAATTGGATTTCCCAGTCTCAGTATAGTACATAAACTACAGTGTCTTGCAGGCTTTTTGGGGAGCTGGGGAAAGAAATCAGTGGCTCATAACTATTAAAAGTCTCCATTTCTAGTACATGGCCTATGGTCCTCAAATGATGTAGTTGTATGCTCAAAAGCATTTTGTGCTTCATTTTCCATGCATTTAATGGTCAATTACTATGGATTTTATTTTTCCTATCAGTACATTAAATAACCGATGTGATAGAATAAATATAAAAATATTTATAATACATGAAGTGCTACGTCAATACTCTCTCAGTTTTTCCATACAACAGTCCTGCAAATTTGGTTACTATTGAACCAAAGAGAACTATGACTTACCTATGGATGCCTGGTGAGTTGATGGCCAAAGTGAGATTTGAATTAGGGACCTTCTGACTCCCGTTCAAACTCCTAGTTACTACAGTGCAGCATAAAAACTTGTTTTTAAAAAGTTGCATTCTTTGTTACTACTGTATACACATTTCAGCATTTTTTCTGCACCTTTACAATATCTCTGCTAAAAAATTTAGACCTCAAAGTATTAAAACATAGGCTCATACAAAGGAGGCATTAGTCAACTAGAAGTCTTTAATGGTTTTCAGCGTGAAAAAAATGGATTGTGATTTTTTAAATTCTTTTTAAGAAGTCATCAAAATATTATGGTAATTATATTATGGTGTACTAAGTGTGTATAATAATATGTCTGTGTATCTTATATATTTTAGTCTTGGAATATTTTGGCCTTGGATGGAAGTAACTGGCAAAGAATAGACCTGTTTAATTTTCAAACAGATGTAGAGGTTAGTAATGCTGTAGTTCTTCACTGTTGTTAAAAATAATGTGTACATAATGTGCAATAAAGACTTGGAAACATGGAGATTATATACTTTTAGCTCTATATCTGGTGGTTTTCACTGAATCTGAAATAAGTTGATATCTTTTAAGAGTAGTAGAGAATTTGAAACCTGATCTGACTTTCTGCCCAGGACATTATAGAACCAACGGATTGGTTACATTTTCTGAGTCTAAGAGCTTGTATAAAGTATAGCGCTGATATGAAGACTAATTTTTCTGTGAACAGAACATCCACAGTGAGCAGGCAGCTTACTCAAAAGGTTGACCTTAGAGAATTACATCTAAAGGTGAGATTATTCTATACCTAGACTTTGATATTTTTTTTAAAATCCCTATATAAATATCTGTTTGAACCTCCACAGCATTGTCTATTGGTAGTTTTTGCAGTTGCAATACCCACTGAGACACTTATGGACCTCTGAACTGACCCTTATTACTCTTTAACCAAAATCAGGCTTGACTCATACAGAAGGTCGCATATAGATTGAAATGAAATGTACTTCATAATCTTTTACATATCTGAGTTTTAAAATAGGCCACATAAGTGCTGAACTCTGAGGTTTCATTTTCTGCCACTTCATGATTCTTTTCATGGCATGTTATTCATTTGTTTATAAAGCAAGAGTCCAGTAGCATAAAGATTAACAAAATTTGTGGCAGGGTATGAGCTTTTGTGAGTCACTGTTCACTGCTTCTGCTGCTACAGACAGACTAATACAGCTACCCACCTTGATCTATTTTCTGATTATTATTATTATCATTTATAGTCTGCTTTCCTCACTGGGACTCAATGCAGATTACAAGTATGATAAAAAGTGTTTTAGTCAGTCAGTGGATTGCAAGATATTACAAATCATGAATAATATCACAGTAATAAGATTAGTAAAACAAATAAACAATAATGAATATATATCTATACACACACACACAAACACACACACTCAACTTTTACTGTAGCTGCTGTACTTCCATTGCTTTGTCAATGTGACAGGGCTAAGAAAACGACAGGAAGCCTAACTAGAGCTGCCTGTGTACCACATGTGCTTCTTTCCCTTTATAAGTAAATTTGCCCACATTTTTGTATATATTCTGTTCAGACCATCTAATTAGAGCAATAGCCATTATTTTTCAAGTTAACAGACCTGTTAACATAATTGTCTGATACAGCCAAATGATTGTAACATTTAATAGGACTCAGAAAGATCACTGTTTCTCTTTCTCTTCTGTGGATTTATATGAACAGGCAGTGCAATAGGTTACTGTGGGTTAAAGGAGATTTGTATGCATCTCCAAAAATCCTAGTGCAGTCCTTTGCTTCTGCCAGGTCAAGTTATACAGACTCTGGAGCACATGCAATTTAACCAAGCAGAGGGAAAAGGCTGGATGGCGTTAGGGGACAGACATACTGACTTCAGATACATTGGGATTCTCTAGTGTACTGCTTGTGCACATACGTGGGGAGAAGAGAAACTGGGATCTGAACCCCAAGCGCATGCAGTACTTTCCCCATATCCTTCATCACATGCCTGTTTGTGCAAGGCAATATACTAATTTAATATGCCATTGAACACCAAACCTCAACTCTTTTGAGGGAAAAAAATCCACAGCACTCCTGCAATACCCAAAAATCATCTGTCTGGATTATTTTTAAAGGTACACAAAGTGCATATTCCCTGTATCCACTATCTTTTGCTCAATGTGACTTCCAAGCATGCCTTTTGGTGACATCTCATGCACAGTGCTAGGACTTCAACTTGCTGGTAAGGGTAAGATTTCTCATTATGTGACATTTTAATGTTTAACATTTTTATGATGGATGGAACCATTAACATATTAACATATGCCCAACATCATAATAGTATGCTGATTGCACAGAAAGGAAATTATAATCCCAACATTGGCTGCTTCTACACGACAAGGATTCTCTGGGTCGCTTTTATCACTGCTGTGATTGCAGAGGCATGCACATTGGCAGTGGAATTTTCTGTGCAATTGCTCTGCTTCATCAGTGCCTTGCAGCTGCCATTTTCCAAGCATTTTACAAAATTCAAATAGTATGGTAACACACTTGGACTGCAGTCTTTCCAAAATAGTTACAGCAAATCTGTTTGAGAAAGAGCATATTGAGGAAGGGGGAGGGACAATGAAAGGCTGATTAAAGCATGATATCATGTAGCTGTTCACTCCCACACACACACACACATGCTCCAAATTGGAAGCCAAATCAGAGAAAAACCTTTGTGTGGAAGCAGCCATAGTGTTAACATTTACTGAAGCACAAGGAGAGAAATATGGATAGTGCCGGACCGGTATGTTGGTAGACATATTCGCAACAGATATAAAATATCATGCTTTTCTATCAAAGTAATTAAACCGTGGCTTAGACTCTGTTTCCAGTCTTCTGGGCAGGAAGAGCAAATGATGGCAAACAAGAACATCAGAACAAAAGAAACCAATCCATTCTTTGCACTAAAAAAGTCCCTTAACAACTGTAATCCAGCACAGTTTTTCATACTTCCAGTGAACATTTTGTATATAGTGTATTTCAATGAATCTGATAAAGCATTAACATGTGACAAAGAATGAAACAGTAGAAACCAAACTAGACAAGATGCTGGCAGATCAGTAAGATCTTCCATTAAAAAGCAATCACAAAGCAGTTGGGGAGGGAGTGTGGGTGAGTTGAATCAGGGAAGTAGAACTAGGGGATGGGGTGTGTTAGTTCTTCTGGCTCCCAGTGCTCTTTACCCCATCTAGATCATACATCACCTCCATGTGGTATTCTGAGGAAAGGATAAATGTATGCCCCTCCCTACCTTGTGGCAGCTTTGAATTAAAAGTATTTAGTAATTGCATACAAATATTACTTTTTAATGAAAAATGTGTTAAAGTGGCCATTCTGCTTGATTCTCTTGTCATTCTGGCTGTGAATTTCAGTAAGATTTGAAAAAGTCTTCAATAAGGAACATTTTTTTCTTGTATATTTTAGATGTTATGGTTCCTGCCGTGGATCTCCTCGTAAAATCCATCTGATTAGATATGCGGTTGACATTTGTTTCATCTGTTTAAGGGCCGAGTGTTAGAAAATATTTCCAAAAGATGTGGTGGGTTCCTGAGACAACTAAGTCTGAGAGGCTGTCTTGGGGTTGGAGACTGTTCTTTGAAGTAAGTTATGGCTTAAAACTTCAGTGGATAGATGCATATACTTGAGTTGCATGATGCACATCACATATGTGGCAATGTCTTTTTTGCTTGAGTTGCAAACTTCAGCATGATAGAAATGCCAAGATGAGGGAAACGCAGAAGTGGCAATATGTGTCTAGATACAAAATCGCCTGGCTATGGCATCTGACCCACCTTAGATTAGGAGTGTGACTAAACCGAAGGCACTGTTAATATAGTTCAGTCATTGGGAAGGGGGAGCACATGTTGCTGACAAATCTAGTTAATGAAAAAAAATATTGCCTGTAGTGTAAGTAGTGTTTTTGCCTAAATGAATACTCACCTCTTATCTCTAACCAGTGGGCTTGCACCCTCAAGTGAGTTGTGGAGCCCTGCTGGGTCTTGAACCCCTCTAGAGCTGCACATCTGTTTTGCTGCCTTTTGGAAGGACCTGCTGTTTGTGCTCATACATTGAGAGCAAGGGTGCTACAGTTCTTGCCTCACATAGCATGCATGCTGAAGGGAGCAGCAGAATAGGTGAGCAAGGGCTTTTAGCAATGGAGATTATTTCTTTTCAACACAAACAGGTTTAAAATGTCCTCCATAAAAGCCCTCATGTGCTTCTCTCATCCTCCAGCCTTTCCACCCTATGACCCTACCCTTCGATCTGCCAGGGTTAGCGCTCTACCCACACTTACAGCATGGAACTCCCCTCTTTACCAGTTAGGTCATAAGTGCCTCTTCCTTTTCTGTCATGTGATTTTGTCACAAACAAACACTGGAGGTCTGTGATTGGATCTCCTGATCTCTTTAAGTTTCATTAAACTTAGTGTGGCTCCCTGATTTTGATTGGTGCTGAAATGGGAGGGATGCACTAATTTTCCCCATGCCAATACTCCCTGAGTTGGTATTGTACAGGAAATGTTAAGGGAGGATTATTCTCCCCTCCTCCACTGGCACCTACTTTTAAAGAAAACTGAAGATGACTTAAGTTATCACAGATCTCCAGTGTCTTTTCTCATTGTTCCCTCTGTGTGTCAGTTTCCTGGTCGTGCTGATTTTTCCAGAAATGGGCAAAGGGGATTGTATACACAGTTCGGTTCACCTAAAACAATTGATTTTAGCTTTGGATAAGATCTAGCTGTACATCTTTTAATTTGTATTCTAGTTTAAATATTTGAATTTCTTGCTGTAATGAACATCTTATTTTAATTGCTTGGGTAGATTGCTTGGGGAATTTCAGGAAACTATATGGTAATTAAGAGTATGGGTGTGACTTTAATAAACGGTAAATCATCAAATGAATTTTGTGAGTAAAAGCTAGAGATGAACTGGAGTTTTCCTTCAAGGATAGCTAACTGTGAACAGAAATACTTCTTTTTAAATACTTTTTTATTTCTCACAATGAATTTCCTGAGGCTATAACTGGGAAGGTAAGACTGACATGATGAGAGAGGAGCTTTTGAACCTTTTCCTTTCATGCCATATTTCTGCTGAACATCTCCTCCTAGCTGCTTTTTCTGAGGGGAAAATTGCTAGTAATTTGATTCTCTCTTCTTGTATATAAAAGGTCATTCTGTGTTGGCTAAGGTGCTGCCTCCTGAGACCAGAAGGGAGGGCAAAACTAATTTTTTGAGGAGGTAGGATCCACCAGTTGTTTTCTGGCATTTAGTCAGGGAGGCAGAGTTCATAAAAGCTCTTTGTCCTCTAACCTGTAAGCAGGGCCAATCATGTCTCCTCAAATGGTAGTGCCATGAGGCTTGAGTATCAGCAGGAGCCGAAGACAAGGCGCTGGAACTGGAAGCAAGGAGCTAGACCAGAGACTTATACCTAGTGCGCACCAGTTGATCTAGCAAGACCGCTTTCCCAAGCCTCGACTTAAATAGGCTGGAAAGTAACCAGGCTCACCTGCACTGCTAGCAGGTGTTGAGCTCCTGTGACTGCACTGTGCTTAGGCCAAAATCCTGCAAAGAATTATCATTCTCTGGGAAGGGGTTGCATGCAGCTCGGCTTGGGCTTTCTTCCCATTCCTGCAGGGTGAAAGTGGTCTTTAGGGCTCTATTGGCCTGGGTTTGCGTCTTTTGCATCCTGCCTGCAGAGCCCTGGTGACTAGTTCAGATTCCTGTGGCAAGGCCTTCATTGCAGGCTCAGGCAGGATGGCTTCTGGTGCTGCTGGGTCATAGTCAACAGGTGCCTCAGCCATCTAGCTCTTCCTGGTCTTCATCGGCTGGTGGCTTTGGCTCCTCAGCCTCTTCCTCTGAGTATTCCGAGTCCAATTCACTGAGCTGGTCAGTGGAGGTCATGACAGTTTTCAAGAGCACAAGAACAAAAGGAAGGAGAATAAGTGTTCTAGTAGGCAGGCTGTAGTGATCTACCCCACTATCAACTTCCCAGGAGGTGAGGAAGCAGAATGTGTGAGGTTTCTCTTGCTGGATGCACCAAGGGCGCAGTGCAAGGTATAATGGGGGGACACATAAGAACAGGCGACCCAACTCTGACTCTGAGAAAGAGGTTTGCTTCACATCTTACAGGAATTCTAGACAGTGGGGCATTAGCTACGGTAGTTGAGGTGCCACACTGGCCACAAGAATTCAAGCAAGAAAAGAGAGGCTGTGACTGCTGGTGGGGTAAAGCAAAGCTTGTGTGGTAGGAGTGGGCTGTGTCCAAGTATTTAGCTCTAGAGAGCCTGAAATCAAGTGACCCCAAGCCACTTCACAAAATCAGGATAATTTGTCCTTCCAGAGGGGGAAAAGAAAGAAAGAGTGTAACCCAGAACTTACCCAACTTATCCTCCCCATTTGAGATGTTTCCTACCACAGTCCTTCTGCAAGATGTGGAAACTGCTCTTGAATGCATGCTTTCCCTTATCCCCGTGGCATTAGTGCTCAGGATTGGGAATACACCACTCCACACATCATTAGGCTCTGTGTTCCTCAACCTATTCTTTATTATCTGTCTCAGAAGGAGTGAGGTAGGAAGGAAGTGCAGAGACCAGGTGCCTGGTTTCACTGCTTTTTTTTTGTTTTTGTTTTTTGCCCCCCGAAGGGGATTTTTTTATTGGCATTTTCTATAAACTACGAAAAACTACCACTAAAAATTGAGAGGGGAAAGGAAACTATACCCTATCACTATAACTATGGGAAATGGGAAAAGGATAAACTAATACATAGAAACTACTTGATGGGGAAAAGAGACTACTGTTCTAAACTATATCATCTGTTGCAGCTATGTCCAACAGGTAGATTGTGATCTACCAGTAGATCGCAGAGGGGTCAGAGGTAGATCACCAGCCCCACTTGGTCTCCTGGTTTGCTGGACAGGTGTTTGGATCTTCGTCTCTCTATTTTGTTTTTGCTTATTTTGCTTACCAGTAAATGACAGAAGGTGCATTATAAATGGGGGAGGGGGGCGGTGGAACCCAACTTTAGTGGGTTAAAAACTAATTTGAAACTAATTTGAAACTTTATTTTCATGGTGGTAGATCACAGGCACTTTTGGCTGGAAAAAATAGATCACTATCTGTTCGAAGTTGGACATGCCTGATCTATTGGGTTTGGGGAAAGGAGAACGAATATATATCACAATCTTATTAGCTAAAAGTAAGCCTTATTAACCTAATATTACAAGTTTGGTATACAATTTGATTCATTACAGTATTGATTTAAGAGTATGCATTTAATAGCTTAGCACAAATTCTGCCTTTAAAAACTATTGTTCTTGTTCTAGAGTCTTTTCATCTTGCGTTTCTTCGTTTTCTTTAGTTTGGGGGCGGCTACTCCTTTCTCCGATTCTGGTGATGTGGAAGTAGTACTTTTTGAACCCTGTGAGTAGGATTCTTCTTCATCATCTTCTTCTTCCTCCTGATCCAGTTTAGAGTTCTTTTCTTTCTTTTTATATTTCGGATTAAACATTTGATTCATAAATTTTACAGCTTTTGGAACAGAGTCAATTTTGTATTTTTTATCCAAGTAATTGAAACTCAGTCCTTCCGGGAATAACCATCTATATGGTACTCCATTTTTTGTAGAGGGAGAGTAAGCGTCCTATATAGTTTCCTCCATTTTCTGACTTCAAAGGGAATGTCTTTTAGTATTTTTATCTCTTCATTCTTAATTTTTAAAGATTTTCCCATTGTAGATTTTAGCACCAGTTCTCTGGTAGATCGTGAATTTTAGATAGGTTTCCCCTGGGAGTTTATTCTTTTTTATAAAGTCTGGTTAGATCCTGTAGGCTACATCCATCTCTTTCACAATGTCTTCCTGTTTGTAATCCATTAATGGGGCCAAAGCCTCCGCCAAAAGTTATTTTAAGTTCTTGTTCTTCTCTTCAGGGATCCCATGGAAGTGTAAAACATACAGGCCCTCCTGTCTTCCGCCGTCCTTTGAAGTTTGCTCAATTTCATGTTCATTGTGTCAATGACACTGTCCAACCCTCTCATCCTTTGCCGTCCCTGTCTTCTTTGACCTTCAATCTTTCCCAGCATCAGGGTCTTCTCCAGTGAGTGCTCCCTTCTCATTTGGTGGCCAAAGTATTTGAGCTTCAGTTTCATTATCTGGCCTTCCAGGGAACAGTCAGGGTTGATTTCTTTTAGGATTGACTGATTTGTTCTTCTTGCAGTCCAAGGGACTCTCAAGAGTCTTCTCCAGCACCATAGTTCAAAAGAATCTATTCTTCGGCGCTCGGCCTTCCTTATAGTCCATTTTTTCGCAGCCATATATGACTACCATTTGATTCAGTTGTTTTTGAACAATGTCCAGTTTGGTGTTGAGGTTAGTTATCTGTTCCATTAGGAGGCGCAGTGCATTTGCTAACAGTGAAAAAAAGTCTGTAGTTACTTCCTGGTTCTGGGAAGGAGTCGTTGGTATGTTATTTACGGTCACCAGTTTTTTCTCCGGCGCTCTCCATCCTCTCCCAACCATAATATCAACAAGAAGTAAGTTTTCCAAAACAAGACAAAAGTTATGCGATTTAAATCCGCTTTGTATATTTTGGCAGTTTTTGCTTTCGCTTAACTTCTTATGCGCTTATTTTCGCTTTAATTCCTTTTATTTCCAATTTAAAACCGCTTTTAAATCTTTTTCAAGAAAGGGGGGGAGAGTGCTTAGTCCCTCTCCCTCCACACTTCAAACTTAGGCGCTTCCAATTATTACCAAGGTCCGCTTTTTCACCTGAGCTTTGCTTAACTCACAGTTTGGAGACCTGGAGATCTTTTGGAAGCATTTTAAAGTTTTGATTGTGGTCGCTTGCTCCGGCAATCGTCTCTAAGTGCCATATTGGCTCCGCGGCGACAGTACCTTTCAAGGATAAGGTGAGCCTCAATTCCTTGGCTGTCGCTTTGGAAGAGGCTCTCCTTAGCTCCCCAGGCTGAGGGTCTCCTACAGAGACCCCGGGGAGGTCTGGGACAAACTTGGACCCCTCCCGTCGGCCGGGTATCGATGCGTCCCCATCAGAGCAAGACGGGACGTGTCCGAGCGGCGAAACGCTTAACGCTTTCACTGCTTTGTTAAGGCTTTGATGGGATCGACTTCACACAGAAGCTAATTTTCTTAAACCAGAGACGCAGCCAAAGCACCAAGATCCATAGCTTAATATAGGGAAAAACATTTCTATACCTCTTCTCCCTTCTTTCCAGCAAGAGACTCTTCTGTTTCCTCCAGGTAATCATGCTGCTCTTCTCCTCTTAATTCCAAAGTCTTTGGCAAGGAGGAAGGGAAAAGGTAAGCGGAGGGAAGGGAGCATAACCACAAACCTCAAGGTAGGCTTTCTCCTCTAAAACACATGCAGAGATTACTGGAAAAAAGCTATAGCTCCTATTCAGTTAACTGCGTCCCCTGAAGGTGCTAGTGTTCCATCCTCCAAGCCCTCCAAATAGCATGATTCGAATTAGCTTTTCCTTGGAATGTTTGGCTGACATATACTTCTTCCACCTCAAAAGAGAAAGTAAAAATGCTGTTAAGTGACCTCCATGCTGTGAGGGTGAATGGAGAGTCTCAGATTTATTTTGACATATTTATTGCTTTAACCTTGTAGCCTTAGCTTGTTATTTAATTGTTTTTGCATAGTTTAAACATCTTCATCATGTTACATGTTAATTTGCTGTTCAGCCCATCTATAAGTTTGAACCCTACCTCCCATTCCACTGTATTGGAAAAAGTGTGCATGCACACGAAACCTCATATCTTGAATAAACCTTTGTTGGTCTTAAAGGTGCCAGTGGACTCTAGGGCTGCGGTCACACGCACCAGTTGAAGCGGAGGGGAAGCGAGGCTATTCCCTCTGGACGAATTTGACATGCAGTTGCGAGATCACACCTCCCTTTGTAGGTGCAGGTGCAGCCCGTCACTGTGTGATCAGATGCAACTGTGGGTGAGTCAGGGTTTTTTTGGCCGTTTGTTCCCATGCACATAAATGAGGAATTGTGCCTCTGCACTGAGGGCCCCCTATGGAGTATGCAGTGATGTGCATACTGCAACGGGGCGGGGGGGGGCCCTGCACCAAGCCGGGATGGCCTGATCAGACTATCCCGACGGCTTGAGAGCGTGCTTGAGCGATCAGACAGGGGAAAGTCTGTCCGTGGCTCGTCGGAACCTGTTTACTACCGGACTTTTCCTGGTGTCTTTTAACTCTGCTTCTGCAGTGGAACAGCATGGGTTGCCGATGATTGCGGGACGCTTCCCAGATGTTGCTGTCTGATCGCTCCCTTTAGATCCATCAGGCATTTGCACCTATATCGGATCTAAAGGCGTGTGTGATCGCAGCCTAAATTTGTTCTACTTGGGTTTTTTTAGGCCATGTTGTTCTCTCAGTTTACAGTCCATGGATGTTGCTGGAGTTTCTAGACTGATATTTGCAGAGTGTTCTGTTACATTCATGCCCTCAAATGTTTTGGCTGAGTACCCCAGGGTAATTTGCAGTCAACTGTAAACTTTTTTGCAGTCTTTAACAGGTTAAGTCATACTACCTACTCTGCTTTGTAATGGGTTGCTACTCTATTTTATAGGTGTTGTTTTTCAGTGTGCTTCTATTCTGTGACCTTGTGCCAGTATTGTCCTGCCCTCCCACTTAGGAGGCAGTGCCTTACCCAATGTAGAATGACCACCAGTCTCTGAGAACAGGAATTCAACAGGTGGTTATTTTCTTTTTTTCTGAAATGTTAAATAGAAAAGCATGAGCAGAGTGTGTCTAACTAGGTAACAATTTGTTCTACTTAACTGAGATACTTGCTTTATTCCTTTTTTGCAGAACATTTGCACAGAACTGTAGAAACATTGAGCACTTAAACCTTAATGGATGCACAAGAATTACTGATAAGTAAGTGAATAGTATTTTACGTGATCACTACGTTTAAAAAAAGAGCTGAAGATATTTTTAGTGCCTCTCTTTCTTTACAGCACTTGCTATAGCCTTAGCAAGTTTTGCCCCAGGCTGAAACATCTGGATCTGACATCCTGTATTGCCATCACTGACAACTCCTTGAGGAATTTAAGGTAAAGCAATCTCTTGATCATCACAGGCTGAACTGATTGCATTTATATGCCACCCCGAGTCCCCTGTGGGGAGAGGGTGCAGGGCAGTGTTCCCTTTAAGCTGAGTTAGTGTGAGCTAGCTCACAGTTTTTTAGCCTACAGCTCACACATTTTTGTCTTAGCTCAGGAAGGATGGCTCCAGAGCAAACTAATTTATGCAGTAGCTAAATTGTTCGCCCACAACTTTAATGCCAGTAGCTCACAAACTAGAATTTCTGCTCACAAGGCTCCACAGCTTAGAGGGAGTATTGGTGCAGGGTATAAATTTATGTCTTGATATTGATGGGTAAATAGCTGTGCCTGATATCACTAATGTTTAAAATATCATGGGTCTGTATAGTCCCACGATTGTTCTGTTGAGGGCTGGCAGTTATCTGTAATGCTAATTAAAACAAGTTTAACTTACATTTGCCATTGTGACTATTCAAATTTTATGTTTGTGTGTATGTTTTGTTAATTTTCACAGTGAAGGCTGCCAAAATTTGGAGTTCTTAAATCTTTCCTGGTGTGATCAGATTACAAAAGATGGTGTTGAAGCACTAGTAATAGGATGTACTGGACTGAAGGCACTCTTTCTAAGAGGATGCACACAGGTACTGCTTTGTTGTTAACTTGCAAGTATATTGGGGCAACTAGAAAACTCTCTTGCAATCATAAAACATTAGTTGAAAACCTGAACAGCAACATGACTTGCTAATTTATTTTCTGTTTCATTAATTCAGCTAGTAGATGAAGCACTTCACCATATTGAGAACCATTGCCATGAACTTGTTCTCTTAAACTTACAGTCATGTATGGTAAGTATCTCCTTTTAATAACAATTTTCAGCTTCAGATTCTAAAGTATTTCTGATTATGAAATTATGTATTTGACCATACATAGAAACTTTGCAGTGGTGCTGAAGAGAGTGTTTAGAAGTACAAGTATGGCTGCAATCATAAGCTATTTAATTCAACTAAATTTACTTTGAAGTATGGATGCTTAGGATTGCACTGATAGTATAAAACATAAGAGAGAAAAAACAGCTGATTCTTCAGCTAAACATGCATTTGAAAAGTTTATTGTCTGATTCTTTGCATGTTTACTGAAAATATAAATCCTGTGAACTCTTGGGAAAAAGCCCCACAGAATATATTGAGAATTACATCTGAGTAAATGTGAATTGAGAGCAGGCTGTTTATACTGTGTTTGCCCAAATATACTTCACCTTCTCATCATACTCCTTTTATTTTCAGCCAACTATGCTTTTGTTCTCCTCTTCAGTCTTAAGTTCTTTTAAGTTATTACTCCTTGACTGTTCAGATTCTTTGTTCAGAGATCATGTCACTTTGTGCTCTATCCCTAACAAACTGTGTCTTGAATAACAAATAGAAAGTAATTTAGTTGCTGGTTGCATTTCGATTAAGAAGCTATAACTGCCCATCTAGCAGGAGATACCAGGATTCAGATTTTTCAATAAAATCTGAAGGTTTTGTCGAATAAACAATTTTGCAACATAATTCTCATTATACTGTTTTACTTTATTAGACTGATAGGGAATCTTACCTAATATTGGCTTGCATCCAATGAAGGATTTCTGTGAAAGGGGATTTTTGCAAGTTCCCCTCCTCCTAGTGCAGACCTCTGATTCTTCCCTCAGGTTGTTCTGGTGGTCCCCAGGAAGCATTTTGGGCTACAGCAGGAAGGCAGAGGAAAGGAAGACACACTGCCATGCATGGAAATCACTGGTGTATCCAAAACATTAAGTACAAAGAAAATAGACCACTGCTGTGTCTGAACATTCTCAGGCTTCTTTGTAGGAAAGATATATTTCAAGTAAACAAAAAGATTAAAATTACTTATTTGAAATCTGCTCGGAATAGCTTTTAGATATATTAAAACAGTACCAGAATTTTCTTAAAAAGTTGAACCAGTGTGGTGTCATGGTTTAAAGTGCCTGACAGTGACCAGCGGCTTCTGGGTTTGAATAACCATGGGACAGTCACCATTTGCCATCTTAACTTACCTTACAGGGAGTTGGATCCTATCAGTCCTGCTGGCATGAAAGCAAAGCTGTTCTGCCTGGTAAGGGAGGTTCTTGCTGCTGTGGAATACTCCTTGCACCAAACATGCTGGCACCGGTGAAACGGACTGGCAGGATCTATCCCAGGATTTCTGAAGGAATAAAGAGTCTGTGTGTAGAACTGTGTATGCTGCTCTGAGCTCCCTAAAGGAGGGCAGAATAAAAACTAAATATATATAAAATAGTAAATTACTTAAATGAGAGTGGTGGAAAACAGGTAGCATTCAAATTAGAGAAACCCAACAACATAAACGAGTAGTTGCAAACCTGCCATCTGTTAAGAAGTATCTAATCAGTCTAAGAAATTATATCATAATCGAAACGTGATGGTAAGTTAGTGAAAAGCAGTATGAAACAATAAGGCTTTTCTTGACACCTAAAAGCATTCAGGTGGGGCACCAGGAAACCATCATGGGACAGTAAGGCTGCCAGCATCCTGGAGAAAGTGTCCTGTCCCTTTAACAGAGGGCTTAATGGGATGTTATTTAACAAGTGATGTTATTTGCCTCCATTCTATGAAAAGCTGCCCATTTCCACACATTCAGTCTCTTTAAAGAGACAGGACATGTTTTCTCCAGGCTGCTGGCGACCCTAAGGGAGACATAGTTCTGCATATGTGGAGCCACAGCAGAGAATGCTTTAGTCCCCTTAAATGTGTGCCTCACACGAAGAGGGCTTCTATGAAAAATTTCAATAGATGAGAGACTTGTATTGGAAGAGATACCCTAGGATCAAATCATATAGTATTCAGATGTCAAAACCATCACTTTGAAGTGCTTGGGGAAACAAAATAGCAACTAATGTAGTTTTCTTAAAACAGGTGTAGTGACACCACAGCATGTCCCCATTAAAATACAATACTATTTTTGAACTAGTTGGAAGTTTCAAAGGGCATCCATACTTAGAGGGTGTTACAATAATAATGTCTTCATATGATCAGAGCAAGGTTGCAGCTGGTTCACCACTATGAAAACTGAAGAACTGCAGGAGCAGTAATTTTATTGAATACTTTGATTGTATTTCAGTTTGTACTGAGTTGCATGAAAAGATTATTATCTTGAACAGTGTTAAATAGTACAAAGTTTGAGTCCAATGGCACCTTTAAGACCAACAAAGTTTTATTCAGGTATCTGAAGAGGCGTGCATGCACATGAAAGCTTATAACCAGAATACATCTTTGTTGGTCTTAAAGGTGCTACTGGACTCAAACTTTGTTCTGCTGCTTCAGTCCAACACAGCTACCCACCTGAATCTAGTGTTAAATAATGAACACACAGTTGTTTTCAGTAAGGTTGATTTGGCACAAGGGTTGGCATAGACTGGATCAAGTGAATTAACTTTGATTCTTCTTCTCGCCTCAGCATCTTTGCAGATATTATGTATCTTCGACTTGGTCTCTGTGCTTCACACCCTTGGGATCTAGTGCGCAAGCGCTGGATCGATCGGTGCTGTAGCAAGCTCTTTTAATGGATTTTCGCGCCCAGACCTCGGGCATGCACAGGAACCCCACCGCGCATGCCCAGAGGAGTGGGCGCGGACATCCCGCCAGTTCCTTTCTTACTGCCACGTTGAGTAGACCTATTTTTCGTCGGTCAGATCAGTTCGCTTTTGGCTTTTGCCTCACAGCTCTTAGGAATTATTTCCTTATTTTAATTTTCCTCTCTTTTCTCTTTTTATTTGTTTGTTCTTCAAAAAAAACTTAAAAAAACATTTATTTTCTGCTGAGGGGGAGTTTACGATTACCTCAGGCCTTCGGACTTCCCCCCCCCTCAAACGTCCCCTCTTCTTCGCTTCCTTTTATGGAGAAGAAGTGGAGTTTTTTCAATAGGTGCAAGGGTTGCGGCAGCAAACTTGCTCCTCCCGACCGTCATATCCTGTGCATTTTTTGTCTCGGAGAGTCTCACCGGCCAGAGTCCTGTCGTCACTGTGCTCGTTTTTCTAATCAAACACGGAAAAACCGAGCTGCACGCCTTAAAGTAGTGCTGCTTGAATCGGCCCTTACTCCTACCTCAGCGATGGAGGAGAGACCATCAACATCGACAGCTCCGGCATCGAGACCTGCCTCCGATGCCGACCGCCCGACACCGAAGCTCCCGGCATTGACGGCGTAATCTTCCGCTTCCATGCCAATCAAAAAGAAGGCCAAGGCAAGCAAGGATCACAAGTCCGCGAAGAAGGGCACCTCAAAGTCCCTTAAGGTGGCGAAGAAGGGGAAGGAAGCAGTGCCTGCACTGTGTGATGCCCCTAAAGTGCCTTCCGCTCCAACGGCAGTATCGATATCGGAGGCCCAAGTCCCTCCACCTATACCGACCATCCAACTATTGGATTCCCCCATCCAACAAGTGGAGCGTCCATACTCTAGACGGTAGAGCTCCTAAGTCACCAGATGGGTGCTGAGCCTTCTCCCTCTCCTTCTACTTCGTCGGCATCAATGATATCGGAGGCTCCCGATGTCAAACCACGTCGGTACCGACCCGCTTCTCCCAGCACGCAATGTCATCGTCCATGCCTCCATGTCCAATCTGTCGATATCGACGACCGAGACTACAGGGATGGTTCTCACAGACGGGCTACTGCTTTGTCTCCCAGACGTCCACAGTCCAGAAGTCGATCCCCCCGAGTCTTCCTGCCCCCTCCACCACCGATATCTTGGGATCAGCGACAGTTGAGGTACCTGTACGGGGCTTATCCACCATCCATGCCGTGGTTGACTCCGGCGGGCTATTCTGATTGGGATCGCTATTGGTCCCACTGTGTTCATAGATCGAGGTCGCCCCACAAGTTGAGACCTTCGGCATCTCTGTCTCGTCCTCCTGCAGAAGATCCTTCCCACCATAGTCTAGAACCAAGTC